ATTTTATTTATTTGTATTGTTATTTTTTTTACTTTCTATCTACGTGACTTTACCGCAAGAACCAAGAATATTAATTCCTGCAGTCACCAAAGTTTTAAGTCAAAACATTCACACACGTTGACAAAGCCTCACCTTGTGTTGTTGTGGGCAGGTCGCTTCTGATAACAAGAGCGGTATAGCAGCTCAAGCGGGCTTGGCCTGCTAACAAAAGAAAATAAAAACTGCGTGAATATTTACAATAAAACAAAGTTACAAAGTGGCGAGCCGGGTGAAGACAAATTAAACTTAAGAGAGATCATTAAAGTGAATGCAATCAGTCGAGGGCAGGAGGCAAGGCCCCGCTTGGCTAGGCCCCGCGTTGTAAAGTTCCAACCTGGACATCGATTCCCATGCTCGCTGCTACTCAATTGACATCCCTACGAGAGAGAGGCTCTACCTTGGTAAACAACAACAACCACCACCACCACAACAACGACCACCACCACCACAACGATGAGAATTTCTCACCTCGGATTTCAGTGCAAGAGCGCTGGCGGAAGCAGGAAGTAGTATGACGTCACTTCTTCAACGTGACTTTACCGAAAAAACTAAGAATATGAATTACTGCAGTCACGAAAGCTTTAAATAAAAAAAATTGAATAACTTATGTTAATGAAGCAGGCCCATATGTCGAGGGATGGGGGCGTGGGCGCTGAACCCGTCGCAATAAACTCGCGACGGCTTTAACGGACACATTATGTTAATGAGCCACCAGTCACTGGGCGTAGTTTTGCCCAAATAAGGATTGCCACTGGAACGACATCGGCAGCGACCCAAGCGGAGGTGACGTCACGCTCAAGAGCACGTTGGACGGATGAATACCTTGGTGACATGACGTCACTAGCGAGGTACACCTCACGCTGGCGTTTCACACCAATGAGGTAATGCAGAGTGGTGACGTCACAGAATTGGAGTTTAAGTTGTTTTAGATTCATTTTCCATTGCTCCCTCCCTTGGGTGTGTGAGCTCAGCAACAACGTGGACATTATTGTGTATACACTGTGTGTGTGTACACTATGTGTATACACTGGGTGTGTGTACACTGTATGTATACACTGTGTCACTGTGTGTGTACACTGTGTGTGTGTACACTAAGTGTATGTGTACACTGTGTAAATACACTGTGTGTATGTACACTGTGTGTATACACTGTGTGTGTGTACACTGTATGTATACACTGTGTCACTGTGTGTGTACACTGTGTGTGTGTACACTAAGTGTATACACTGTGTGTGTGTACACTGTGTGTGTACACTGTGTGTGTGTGTACACTGTGTGTACAGTGTGTGTGCACACTGTGTATACTGTGTGTGTGTACACTGTGTGTGTTTACACTGTGTGTGTGTACACTGTGTGTCCGCATTGAACCGAACCCCCGGCAAGGCCATCTACTTAATGACGAGAGAAAATTCACACGAAATGTCCTTTTCAATGAAGTCTTCCAGATTTAAATTGATACAAGCTTTTAATGAAGAACTAAAATCATCTAATTCAAAACACAACACAATTCAAAGATGTTTCATTTTAAAACTTCAAAACAGAGCATGGGGTACTTGCGTGAATGCGTCCTTCGTGTGCAAATGTTGACTTTCCTGGCCTGAAGGCCGTCAATGTGTTGGACTATTAAATGGTGCACAGCGTCTCAACAGCAGTGGGGTTTGCTTCAACCGATGGTTACGAACATCCAGACGTGAATCAGCAAGGAGCATTTCTAGTCCCAGTTAGACAAAATCTACGTCAACACGTAAGACAAAACTACAATTCGTGTTGTAGAGAATGTACCTCCTCCTATACGTGTAACTTTTAAGTGGTATGCCTTGTAACTGATGAATGATCCGAGCGTGCTCCCTATTTCAAAGACGATGAGTTGCTCCAGAGGCAGACGCTTCGTGAAACACAAAAGTACCCTTTGACCTGTATCACAAGAACAACGGGTCTCACCTGAGTTCTCTGTACAGGTTACTTCCAAACACACACACACACACTTTGTCCTAACATCACTTATTCAATGTTTGACCCTCAGACAAAATATTACATGTACGCGCACAATCAGACAAGTATTAATTCTAAATTATTGACGGGCATATTAACATTGAATTACTGCAGCGAAATTGACTGCATCACGTTACATCGTATTAACAAGAAGTTATTTTACAAATACGCACCGTCTGCTTAACAGTGTATGTACACCGTACTATTGTTGCATCATTCAAAACGAGTAGGCCATTGCATGCTGGCGTCTGGGTCAAAATGTAGCAAATTCTAAACATTACGCTACAAATAATAGATCACGGCACTTCGATGGCAACACAAGCAATCGTCATCAGGTGGGACAAGCACAGCAGCAATAAGAAGAAACTGCTGGAGTAGGCGCCTACTACTTCAGCAGTTTCTCTTGCTGTGGTTGTCCCACCTGATGACGATTGCTTGTGTTGTGATCTAAACGCCGTGATCTGTTATGTTTCTACCCACGTGGTGACTTTACCGAAATAACTCAACAGTGTGGATTCCTGCAGTCACGAAAGCTTCGAATCAAGATTGCCTACAAACTACACAACTGAGATGACGCATCAATCATCGCCCCCTACTGATAGGCTCTTGTCCACATGCAGGCCGGTGCAGGGCCACCACCTTGTGCCACACAGGGGCAGCTGCTACTTGGGGATGCTCTTCGAGTGTTACAGACGAGGTACGACATAAAACTCCGAGTTGCCGAGGCGATAAGGCAAGCACCGTGTAAATGCAATTATGATAACATAGTGAATGCTTGGGGGCTTATTGTCTCTCGCTCCTGGTAAAAGATCTACCCAACCCACAGGTCTACAAAGACTGGCCGCTCTTACTCTGCAGGTTGAACATAGCCATTGAGTGTCCAACTTCACGTTCTTGTCATTAAAGGCCTGTGACAAAGGTGCATCTATTGGAGCGACATCGTCTGAAGCTTACACATCTACCGGGTCTCCACTTGACTTTGTATTGTCTCGGAGGAAGTCCACCCACACCTCCACTTCCACAAACTGCTGGGAGTTGCCTCGCTCTGCCTCACAGTCAGAATTCTCCTCCTGCTTTACGTTGCCTCCATCGATGTGAAGGTCCCATTTTGGAGTTGAATCTTCATCTTCACATTTTACCTTCACTTCTTCCCTCTTCACCATCACTTCTTCACATTTCACCTCGATACCTTTAAAAGTGTCCAAGCTGGGATTTTTTTCCGGTTCGTGTTTCATGAGGGATGGGCTCATTGCGGCACTTTGACTTTCACAAGCTGATTTCAGACTGCACTCCTTGTGGATCTTCTGATGCTTCTGTGTACTCTGGTGTGTTTTAAGAGCAGATGACTGTACAAATGCCTTCCCACATACAGTGCACTTGAAGGGTTTCTCTCCCGTGAGTGTTCTCTGTTGTGTTTAAAGAGCAGATGAATCTGAAAATGTCTTCCCACACACAGTGCACTTGAAGGGTTTCTCTCCCGTGTGTGTTCTTTGGTGTTTTTTTAAGAGCAGATGACTGTGCAAATGCCTTCCCACACACAGTGCACTTGAAGGGTTTCTCTCCCGTGTGTTCTCTGGTGTGTTTTAAGAGCAGATGAATCTGAAAATGCCTTTCCACACACACTGCACTTGAAGGGTTTCTCTCCTGTGTGTGTTCTCTGGTGTGTTTTAAGAGCAAATGAATCTGAAAATGTCTTCCCACACACACTGCACCTGAAGGGCTTCTCTCCCGTGTGTGTTCTCTGGTGCTTTTTAAGAGTAGATGAATGTGAAAATGTCTTCCCACACACTGCACCTGAAGGGTTTCTCTCCCGTGTGTGTTCTCTGGTGCTTTTTAAGAGTAGATGAATGTGAAAATGTCTTCCCAGACACACTGCACAAGGGTTTCTCTCCCGTGTGTGTTCTCTGGTGTGATTTAAGAGTAGATGAATCTGAAAATGTCTTCCCACACACAGTGCAATTGAAGGGTTTCTCTCCTCTGTGTGTTCTCTGGTGTGTTACAAGAGTAGATGACTGTGCAAACGCCATCCCGCACATCGTGCACCTGAAGGGTTTCTCTCCTGTGTGTGTTCTCTGGTGTGTTACAAGATCAGATGACTGTGCAAATGCCTTCACGCACACACTGCACTTGAAGGGTTTCTCTCCTGTGTGTGTTCTCTGGTGTTTTTTAAGAGTAGATAAATCTGAAAATGTCTTCCCACACACACTGCACTTGAAGGGTTTCTCTCCCGTGTGTGTTCTCTGGTGTTTTTTTAAGAGTAGATGAATGTGAAAATGCCTTCCCACACACTGCACTTGAAGGGGTTCTCTCCCGTATGTGTTCTCTGGTGTGTTTTAAGAGCAAATGAATCTGCAAATGTCTTCCCACATACACTGCACTTGAAGGGTTTATCTCCCGTGTGTGTTCTCTGGTGTCTTTGAAGATGAGATGAATCTGAAAATGCCTTCCCACACACAGTGCAATTGAAGGGTTTCTCTCCTGTGTGTGTTCTCTGGTGTGTTACAAGATTACATGACTGTGCAAACGCCATCCCGCACATCGTGCACCTGAAGGGTTTCTCTCCTGTGTGTGTTCTCTGGTGTTTTACAAGATCAGATGACTGTGCAAATGCCTTCACGCACACACTGCACTTGAAGGGTTTCTCTCCTGTGTGTGTTCTCTGGTGTTTTTTAAGAGTAGATAAATCTGAAAATGTCTTCCAACACACACTGCACTTGAAGGGTTTCTCTCCTGTTTGTGTTCTCTGGTGATTTTTAAGAGTAGATAAATGTGAAAATGCCTTCCCACACACTGCACCTGAAGGGTTTCTCTCCCGTGTGTGTTCTCTGGTGCTTTTTAAGAGTAGATGAATGTGAAAATGTCTTCCCAGACACACTGCACAAGGGTTTCTCTCCCGTGTGTGTTCTCTGGTGTGATTTAAGAGTAGATGAATCTGAAAATGTCTTCCCACACACAGTGCAATTGAAGGGTTTCTCTCCTCTGTGTGTTCTCTGGTGTGTTACAAGAGTAGATGACTGTGCAAACGCCATCCCGCACATCGTGCACCTGAAGGGTTTCTCTCCTGTGTGTGTTCTCTGGTGTGTTACAAGATCAGATGACTGTGCAAATGCCTTCACGCACACACTGCACTTGAAGGGTTTCTCTCCTGTGTGTGTTCTCTGGTGTTTTTTAAGAGTAGATAAATCTGAAAATGTCTTCCCACACACACTGCACTTGAAGGGTTTCTCTCCCGTGTGTGTTCTCTGGTGTTTTTTTAAGAGTAGATGAATGTGAAAATGCCTTCCCACACACTGCACTTGAAGGGGTTCTCTCCCGTATGTGTTCTCTGGTGTGTTTTAAGAGCAAATGAATCTGCAAATGTCTTCCCACATACACTGCACTTGAAGGGTTTATCTCCCGTGTGTGTTCTCTGGTGTCTTTGAAGATGAGATGAATCTGAAAATGCCTTCCCACACACAGTGCAATTGAAGGGTTTCTCTCCTGTGTGTGTTCTCTGGTGTGTTACAAGATTACATGACTGTGCAAACGCCATCCCGCACATCGTGCACCTGAAGGGTTTCTCTCCTGTGTGTGTTCTCTGGTGTTTTACAAGATCAGATGACTGTGCAAATGCCTTCACGCACACACTGCACTTGAAGGGTTTCTCTCCTGTGTGTGTTCTCTGGTGTTTTTTAAGAGTAGATAAATCTGAAAATGTCTTCCAACACACACTGCACTTGAAGGGTTTCTCTCCTGTTTGTGTTCTCTGGTGATTTTTAAGAGTAGATAAATGTGAAAATGCCTTCCCACACACACTGCACTTGAAGGGTTTCTCTCCCGTGTGTGTTCTCTGGTGTGTTTTAAGAGCAAATGAATCTGCAAATGTCTTCCCACACACACTGCACTTGAAGGGTTTCTCTCCCGTGTGTGTTCTCTGGTGTCTTTGAAGATGAGATGAATATGAAAATGTCTTCCCACACACAGTGCAATTGAAGGGTTTCTCTCCTGTGTGTGTTCTCTGGTGTGTTACAAGATTACATGACTGTGCAAACGCCATCCCGCACATCGTGCACCTGAAGGGTTTCTCTCCCGTGTGTGTTCTCTGGTGTTTTACAAGATCAGATGACTGTGCAAATGCCTTCACGCACACACTGCACTTGAAGGGTTTCTCTCCTGTGTGTGTTCTCTGGTGTTTTTTAAGAGTAGATAAATCTGAAAATGTCTTCCCACACACACTGCACTTGAAGGGTTTCTCTCCTGTGTGTGTTCTCTGGTGTTTTTTAAGAGTAGATAAATCTGAAAATGCCTTCCTACACACACTGCACTTGAAGGGTTTCTCTCCCGTGTGTGTTCTCTGGTGATTTTTAAGAGCAGATGACCATGAAAATGCCTTCCCACACACAGTACATTTGAAGGGTTTCTCTCCTGTGTGACTTCTCTGGTGCCGTGTCAGATTTCCAGTTCGGTCCGTGCCGTATGCACGCTGGTCGCATTGTTGACTTGTCGTAACGAGCTGCGCTGAGTGCCTTTGCTCCATCAGACCAAATCTGCAGAGGAAGCGTCAGCTGCAGACATAAAAAAAGAATATCCACACCATCTACACGTCAGGCACAGAGGAATGCACACGTGACTTACACGTCTATACTTATTAATATATTCATGATGTAGTGAAAAAGTTTCCCAAATTAATCAGATTTGATGAACGTGCAAACGCCTTCCCACACAGAGTGCACCTGAAGGGTTTCTCTCCACGGGTTGTTATGGCACACAATGAGAGGGAAAATGTCATTAATATGCCTGTAAGCCTTCATATCATCAAGATGAATGGTAACCCAAAACTCTAAGCACACAATTTCGGCTGTCTGACTACAAAATGAATATTTATGAACGCTAAATTCAGCTGACATAGCAAAGGGTGTTGAAAACAATACTATTTGTGTTTTGCAGAAATGCATGAATTAATGTTCAATCGCAACTTAGAGGTGTGAATCCAGGCTCAGATGTCCTTGAATGCTGGGGATGAACAGTTCTGACTTCAGCTGAAGGTGTGTGCTGTGTTCACCTCCTGTTTTCATTCTTATAAAGAGTTCCAGAGGAAAACAAAAATAAACTATTGTTTTGATATAACCTCCACGTTCAACAGAGTTGATAGACTTTACTGCAAACACAAACTTGACACTATCACACACTGCCATGAGTAAACAGGTGGTGGTGGTGGGACCAGAACCATGCCTGGCCACCTTCATCTGCTCAGCATTAATTCTTCCTCACTCCACCAAGTAATGAATCGAGGATCAATCAACATAGCCGAGGCTATCCGTGTCTCTGTCTCTCTCTCCCCGTGGTGAAGGTGTTCCCCTCCACACATTCAGAGTCAACAGCGGCACGCGCTTAGCGTCTTTGACCGATAGCTACATTGATACACGTATTGTTGGTTCTTTCAGTAAAGTCACGTAGATAGAAAATAAAAATAACAGATTAAATTCAATAAGATAAAGACCACTTGTGTTGCGATCGAAACGTCGTGGGTTTATTGTTTTATTTTTATTTTTTTTCATGTATTTTTATTATTTAATTTTCTATCTACGTGACTTTTCCGAAAGAACCAAGAATATTAATTCCTGCAGTCACCAAAGTTTTAAGTCAAAACATTCACACACGTTGACAAAGCCTCACCTTGTGTTGTTGTGGGCAGGTCGCTTCTGATAACAAGAGCGGTATAGCAGCTCAAGCGGGCTTGGCCTGCTAACAAAAGAACGAAAATAAAAACTGCGTGAATATTTACAATAAAACAAAGTTACAAAGTGGCGAGCCGGGTGAAGACAAATTAAACTTAAGCGAGATAATTAAAGTGAATGCAATCAGGCGAGGGCAGGAGGCAAGGCCCCGCGTGGCTAGGCCCCGCGTTGTAAAGTTCCAACCTGGACATCGATTCCCATGCTCGCTGCTACTCAACTGACATCCCTACGAGAGAGAGCGAGGCTCTACCTTGGTAAACAACAACCACCACCATGAGAATTTCTTACCTCGGATTTCAGTGCAAGCGCGGATCGGCAGCCTCCTCTTACTTCGCGACGTCACGCGGGTAAACAGGTAACATGACGTCACTTCCAGGGTAAGAGACACGCCCTTCCCACGAGCGGCTCTGTAACAGAATTAATTATGTTAATGAGCCTAGCCCATATGTCGAGGGATGGGGCGTGGCTGCTGAACGCCTCGCAATCAACTCTCGACGGCTTCAACGGCTACATTATGTTAATGAACCGCCAGTCACTGGGCGAAGCTTTGCCCAAATAAGGATTGCCACTGGATTAATATCGGCAGTGACCCAAACGGAGGTGACGTCCCGCTCAAGAGCGCCGTGGACGGGGTTGGGGGAGTGTGAATACCTTGGTGACATGACGTCACTAGCGAGGTACACCTCCCGCTGGCACTTCATGCCGATGAGGTCATGGGGATGGAGTTTAAGTTGATTTAGATTAATTTTCCATTGCCCCCTCCCTTGAGTGCGTGAACTCAGCAACAACAACGTGGACATTATTGTGTATACGTACACACTGTGTACACTTTGAGGCCACGTGAAGCGTCAAAGGCTCGCTGGAAGGAGGAAGTCGCGTGACAGACTCAGCAGTTGCGATGGGTTAACCGACGGATGGCTATCGATTAGAAATCACATATCCCCGAGTCTCATCTGTGAGTGGCACCACCTGACGCTGTTGTGGATCCCCACGTGGCTCGGAGCCTCAAAAGCTCCGTGACTTCCGGGTGGTGATACAAAGACAAAGGTCCCCCGTGTAGCCTTAACAGACTGTTGGGGCAAGTGCTGTTAGCAAGTAGCAGCACCACCTATGAAGGCCGGAACGGTACACGAGGGGGTGGGTGGCCAGCACCGCGCCCGACCGCCTTTGTCTCCCCAGTAATGATGTTTGCACATCACACCGGGTATTCTCTTGAGGCTGAGTCGACCTAGGGGAGGCCCAGAACCGGTTCAAATAATCGTCACTGGGTGTTGGCTGTGAGCGGGAATCAAACTCGGGTCGTTATGTTGGTAGAGCAGCGCACTAACCACACACACACACAGACATACACACACACAGACACACACACAGACACACACACACAGACACACACAGACATACACACAGACACACACACAGACACATACATACACACAGACACATACGTACACACAGACACACACACAGACACACACACACACACAGACACACACACACAGACACACATACACACACACACAGACACACATACACACACACAGACACACACAGACACACACACATACATACACACAGACACACACACACAGACACACACACACACAGACACACACACACAGACACACACACACATACAAACACACACACATACATACACACAGACACACACTCATACATACACACAGACACACACAGACACACAGACACATACACACACACAGACACACACAGACACACACACATACATACACACTGACACACACACAAACACAGACACACAGAGACACAGACACACACACACATACAAACACACACATACATACACACAGACACACACTCATACATACACACAGACACACACAGACACACACAGACACATACACACACACAGACACACACAGACACACACACATACATACACACATACACACATACATACACACACACATACACACAGACACACACACACAGACACACAGACACACACACATACATACACACAGACACACACACATACATACACACAGACACACACACACAGACACACACACACACAGACACACACACATACACACAGACACACACACATACACACACACATACACACAGACACACACACATACACACACATACACACATACACACAGACACATACGTACACACAGACACACACACACCCAGACACACACACACAGACACACACACACAGACACACATACACACATACACACAACAACAACAACAACAACCGCCATTCGCCACTAAGTGGCGGTGACGTCACCACGACGCTTGTGCCAGGCTATGTGCACCCTGAGGCCACGTGAAGTGTCGACCGCCCGCTGGCAGGTCACGGGGCAGACCCAGGTGCCACGGGTCGACTGACTGAGATGACTGGCTGATGCACCACCTGTGCCCCCTACTGTGCCAATCTGCTGTGCTTTAGCCACCCGGCGCTCCGCTCGTTGTTCTGAGCGTCGCTCCTCCGCCCTCCGTTGTTGTTGGAGGGCGACTACCTCTAACTGCCCCGTAGCATCCTTCACGAGCCTCCTCCACAGAGGCCGATCTTGGCACCGCTGGTACCAGTCATTGGCAAGTCCACTCAGCTCCACGTCCTCCTGTACCACATCACTCCATCTCTTCTCTAGCCTGTGCCGCGCCCGCTTAGCCCCCTCAATCCGTCCAAACAAAAGCTGTTTCGGCATGCGGTGGCTGGGCATGCGGGCTACATGACCCAGCCATCGCAGCCTTGCCTGCCGGAGGAGCTCACCGATGGGACCGCCTTCAATACTTCATCAGCAGCTGGCACCTCAGCCAGCCACTCACAGGGGGTGACTTCATCCAATATTTGAGGCACCGCAGCCTCAGCAGGGTCATCCTCACTTTGTGCCACGATGTTTTCCTGGCTGAGGGATTTTCCCTCCCCCAGGACCTCACAGAAATGCTCAGCAAATCTGCAAACCTGTTCCTGGGGGTCGGAAATTGGATCACCGTTTTTTCCCCTAATGATGGTAATAGGTGTGGCGCTGCAGGTTACTTTTTTGATGGAGTTAAATAGAGATTTGTGATCACGGGCCACTGAGGCAGACTCCATCTCCTCAGCAACCCGCGACCACCACCCATCCTTGCAGCGCCTCACGGCTCTCCGAACCTCCGAGCGAAGGCTGCGGTAAGCCTCCTCATTCTCTGACGTGGGATTCTGTAGCCGATGACAGTGGGCCTGTCGCTTTTTCTCAACCATCCTGAACAACTCCTCTGTCATCCAGGGTGTCTGGGGAGGTCTGGACCGCGTACCCAAAGCAGCCATTGCAGCTGCATGAGTCACAGTCCTAAACCTCGCCCATTTACCCTCGACATCTGGAGGAGTCGGGGACGATGCCAATCCCAGCCGCAAGCGATGATGAAATTCTCGCTTGCAACTTTCATCAGATAACTGAGACCAGGCCACTTTAGGTTGGAATGGGGTCCTGGGTGTACACCCACCACCGGAGTGGAAGAATGGCAGGCGCATCTTACAGATGACTAGTCGATGGTCAGAGGGCAGATCAGCTCCACGGTAGGTCCTGGTGTCAAGGACATGGGCTCGCATTCGCTGGTCCGTCACTATGTAGTCCAGCAGATGTTCTTGCTTGGACCCGGCATGCATCCATGATGTTGTGTGGATGCGCCGATGCCGGAACAGCGTGTTGGTAATTACAAGCCCATGGGCTGCACAAAAATCTAGCAGCCTCCTACCGTTGTTATTGAGCTGATCTGGCCCATGCCCTCCAATCACTCCAGAACAGGTGCCAGTATCATGACC